GTTCTGTTTGGTTCTTATAGCAGAATTCGAGCGAGATGGTGATTGGGGTATGGAGTGGTTGATTGCGCCTTGGTTATAGTCTTTCCGGGCTGTGGTATATTGTGTTATTGGCTTCCCTATGGTTATGGTCATGCACTTTATGTACTTGATGTCGAATTGCGTGTAGTTGTTGATTTTGAGCATTGTGGCTTGAGGTATTTCATATACACCAGTGTTTTGGATGGTCACGCATTGCAGATGCTTGTTGAACTTGCAATACGGTTATCTTATTTGAGACATTTTCCAATTTTTTTTGATACACAGATTGCGCAGTCTGTGGCTTGAGTTATATTGGTGTGGCATGTCTGTGGAATAGTTGTGTTTAATAATATATGGACATTGGACCTAGAATGAGTACTATCAGGTTTGAAACGGTATATTCGAGAGGATAATATTAAAATTCGGCTTAGAAAGTGATTATGGTTCTGGTTGGGACGAGAGAGCTCCATGACTTGTTGATCTGATAAAGGGGTCATGAGATTTCTGCGCGTCTCTTTCATTATCAGCAGTGTACGAAAGTGTTAGAACGAGTTTTTGTTTGACATGGGGTTTAATACTAGTACCGGGTTAGTTGGAGTAGTTACTGTGATGAGGGATGGTGCTGCGAGCATGCGAGATGTGTAGTGAGTTATGTGAATATATCTGGGGTCATGGTTATGGCTTAATACAACTTGTTCAGACTCATACAGTGTGTAGATGTGAGATTCGTGCCTTGTAAGAAATTCTAAATGTTGGAATTGAATTCCAAGGTTTATGAGCTAATGTTAAATTAATGATTTTCAGTTGTAGTGTGTTGTCAAGCCTATATAGAATAGGGTGACGTGGGATCACCCCCGGGTTCGTGTGTGGTAAGATGAAATAGTGATTTGGTGGCTTGGAAACAATTTTTGGCACGTTTAAGTGGGGGAGAATGTAACGACCCGGTAGGTCGTTTTGAGTATTATAACCTCGTTCCCCCATTTACTTCTCAATTTATGCTTTACAATTGTTTTATGACTTATCAGGTTAGTTGGTTCGGGATCGGAAGGATTTCGGGGTGAAATGAGATACTTAGTCTCATAATTAAAAACTTAAGTTCTAAAAGTTAACCGGATATTGACGTATCTGTAAACGACCTCGGATTTGAATTCTAATTATTCCAATAGCTCCGTATGATGATTTTGGACTTAGGAGCGTGTCCGAAAAATTATTTGGAGGTCCGTAGTGGAATTAGGCTTGAAATGGCGAAACTCGAATTTTTGGAAAGTTGGACCGGGGGGTTGACCTTTTTGATATCGGGGTCAGAATCCGATTCTGTAAAATAGAAATACATTCGTTATGTCATTTATGACTTGTATGCAAAATTAGAGGTCATTTAGACGTGATTTGATAGGTTCCAGCATCGTTTGTAGGAATTGGAAGTTCAAAGTTCATAGATGTTGAATTGGAGTATGATTCGTCGTTTTGATGTGATTTGAGGACTCGAGTAGGTCCGTGGTATGTTTTAGGACTTGTTGGTGTATTTGGTTGAGGTCCCGGGGACCTCAGGCGAGTTTCAGATGTTTAACGAATCAAAAATTGGAGTTGTGAGGTTGCTGAAGCTGTAGCCCTTCTGGTGTGATCGCACCTGCGAGGGTCTTGGCCGCAGGTGCGGCAACTCGAGCACAAGTGCGGAGTTGGAGGGTGTCAGCAGAGGTCGTAGGTGCGATGGGGTTTTCGCACCTGAGATTGCGCAGATGCAGGCAGGGATTCGCAGAAGCGAAAAATGGTGAGGAAGCCAGCCAGCGCAGGTGCGGCATTTTTCCGCAGAAGCGGGTGCGCAGGTGCAACCCAGGCTCCACAGGTGCGAAAAGCGTGGGCAGAACCCTTTAAGTTCGAGGGTTCGATATTTTCACGCATTTTCGGATTTTGGAGCTCAGTTTGGTCGATTTTGGAGAGGAATTTGTCCACACAACTTGGGGTAAGTGTTCTTGACTCCCTTGTGATTATATTTCATGAATTAATCTTCATTTGTGGTGTATGATTATCGAATCTTCAAGAGAAATCGAAGGAAATTTCTATAATTTCATAAAACGAAATTTTGAGTTTTAAACATCGATTTGGAGTCGGAATTGAGTGAAATTAGTATGGTTGAACTTATAATTAGATGGGTTGTCGGATTTTGTGAGTTTCGTCGGATTCCGAGACATGGGCCCCACGAAAAATGTTTGGAGTATAATTCGGATTTTTTGGAAAAATATTAGTATTTCGATATGGAATTAATCCATATAATTGTGTGGAATGAATCAAATTAATTGTAACTAGATTCGAGCCGTTCGGAAGTTGATACGCGCAGAATAAAATTTCTGGAGCATTGTTTAGCTTGCTCGACATTGGTATTGGCTTGTTCGAGGTAAGTAACTCTTCTAATCTTGGAGCTGAGGGTAGGGGTGTCAATGGATATTTAAAAACCGACTAAACCGACCGAATCGTAACGTACCGAACCGATTTTTATGTTTCTTTTAATAAAATCGTAGATTTTTATATATTTCTATTACTGTACCGATAATTAGGATAAATATTTTATTTTATGAAAATAATCCTAAAAAATACCGAACCGTACCGAATAAATTTACTTGTAAAAAATATATTTGTATATAAGTTTAAAAATAATAAAGCATTAAATGTTTCCGTGGGATTTGGAATTATGAACACTGTTACAAGTCAAGAAGTAATTAAATTCAAAATCTTAATTCCCAACCTATTATGCTACTCATGTTAAAACTAAACTATTTCCAGCATATTCACTAGCAAGACACAAGGTATTCTAGCAATTATGAGTAGCAAAGTACAATGTATTGAATACGTTTCATTTCGTATGATTTAAATTTATCTTTTTGAATATATAATCTTCTCTAGACTTTATTCTTAAGTCCCAACTTGGTTAATATATTTCCAGTCGTGTGATTTATATTTTTTTGGTCTTTGCTTAGTGTCTTTTATGCTATTGTAGAATAGTTAATGGATCTATGCTCTCACCATCTTTCATGTTCTTAATCTATCACCTTTTAAATAGTAAAAATGTATAGAGAGTTTTGCTAAGTCCGATAAAAGTACGTATGTTATTGCATTCTACTTCTACTACTTTTACATGACCTTAGAAAAATATCGAAAATTAACCGAACCATACCCATACCGAAGAGAAACCGACATGATTGGGACGGTTTTGAAAGTCTATTTTTGGTTATATATAATAGAATAACTGAAAAATTTGTATGGCACTAATTTTATAAAATAACCGTCTGAACCGAACCATTGACACCCCTAGCTGAGGGTATGAACTCTAAATATACGTATTATGTGAATTGTTTGGAGGTGATGCACATGGTAGGTGACGCGCGTGTGGGCGTGCATCATAAAAATTGTGACGTAATTGTTTCCGTAAAATTTTGTAGTTAAATAATCTTGGCATTTTCCATGTAGTTTTATGTGTTAAAGAAATTGAGTTGAGAATCATATTAAAAGTTATGCTGAGGCTATGTGCCAATATTATTGAAACACATAGAGGTTATAGTGCGGTGAATTATTTATTTAAATTGAAATTTCATACTCACTCATACTCATTTCTTTGCATATCATATCTCAGTCTCTGTTGTTATTTATTGATACATCATATCATCATTTCTGGGTTAGTTTCATGACATTATGAGCCTGTGATAGAGAGACTGGAGAGATTGATGACCGAGTGAGGCCAGGGCCTGATTGATTCTGATATTGATACTATAGCACGTGAGTTATCTGTGCGTATTATAGCGCTTGGGCTGTAGGAGCCCCTCCGAAATCTGCACACGCCTAGTGAGCGCGGTTGATATTATTGAGGGATGGATCTTCCCTGGACATGGATCTTGTCTGAAGTATTATATACCTAGAGATGGATATTCTCCACGGGCTGGAATGGCCCTACTCGGTACTGGGTGACTGATGATCAGTTGATGTGTATATTCCAGGATGGATCTTCCCTGGGCCGGATTGGCCATATACAGTACCGAGTGATTGGGCATGATGAGTGGAATGTGTGAGAAAGTGACATTGAGTACTCTGAGAGTGTGAGTACATGAGTTCATCTCTGAGATATATTGCATTGACATGCACACATGACATACAGGCATAGAGATGTATTTTTCTCATTTTGTACGTTATCACATCATTCATGATTTCTCACACATGTTGACAGATGGGCATAGTGATGCATTTGTTTTACATTGATTATCTGGAAAGAAAATGAAACATCTTATTTATTATGGAAAGAATTTTGGGAAAAATTATTGTTTTCAAACTTATTCATATTTTTGGCAACTCCGGTAAACGATTTGGGTATTCATTGATGTACTTGAAAGGCAGAACTATTTTTCAGAAATCATATTTTTGTTGAGCATTTGATTGTTGAGTTACTTCGGGTATTACTTGTTTTATATTGTTATAAACTATTGTTGGTTATGGAAGTTGGACTCTGACCTTGGTACAAGCTCGTCACTACTTTCAACCTAAGGTTAGGTTTGTTACTTATTGAGTACATGAGATCGGTTGTACTCATACTATATTTCTACACTTTGCGTGCAGACGTTGGCTGCTGATGTTGCTGTATTCGTTGGGAGCTGGATCTGAAGATATACTTATGTTCCGGTTGTTGCTGCCTCTTATTCATGGTAGCCTTAGATTGATCTTAAAACTCTGTTTATATACTTTTCAAATAGATGATATATTTACTTCATACCAGCTTTGTATACTCTATTCTTAGAAGCTCATGATTTGTACTACCAGTTCTTGGGGAATCTATAAGATTAAGATTTTTTTTTCTTTACTTAAATTGCTTTAATAATTGTTAATGAAATTGGATAGTTGATAATTGGCTGACCTAACAGGTTGGGTTAGGAGCCATCACGACTAGTTGGATTTTGGGTCGTGACAAAAATCCACAAAATTGATGAAATAAATAAATAAATTTAGTTAATAAAGGCACAATTCCATGCTGAAACAGAATATATTGGTCTGTCATGCCAACATATCATCAAATTTCCCTTCTGACTGATTATCTTGTAACCATCTCTACCATAAGCTTCCACCAATCTCTTGGCATCTTCCATAATATCGTACCATAATCGCACGGGTCTAAATCCTCCACGTGTCAACCTCACAATCCACTTCCCAAATCTTTCATGCCTTTCCTCCCTTTCCAATCCTTCACATGCCACCATATTTTCTATTTCCTTCCCTAACATTTGTTCCACTGCTACCCTCTCTTCACACAATGAACAATTAGACCCTTTAAATGTGGTATCAATTGAATCAAATAATGCACTATAATAATGCAATCCTTCCACAAACCTATCCACTAGTTTGCTCAAATTGTGATCAGCTTCTTGTTCCACTAGGATCAACACTTTTGGTGACAAGGAGTGCAACATTGTTAAAAATTCACTCATTCTCTTGCAATCTTTGACGTTATTATTGTTGTTGTTCTTGTTTAGGCTGAAGTGTGAATTGATACGGTCATCTTCAGCCAATAGGACATGGAGATTTAGTACCGATACAAATGCTAATGACTCGCCTGCTTTTACCTTGAGCATATCTAAAGTTAGCTCCCTGAGATTAACATTCAAAGAATTGAATTGAAAGGAAATGTCTAAGGCTTTAGCTTCTTTCTTAATCCTTGATGCCATTTCTTCTAACATTGCCTTGTTATTGTTCACACAAGTGATCTTCAAATGGGGAGTTCCATTTGGTAAATTAACAACGGTTTTTAGGAAAGGTATCCACAATTTTGTGTCTCCAGAACCCAAATCGACAATATGGATTATACGATCCTCAGACATGGCTTGGATCAAGACCCTGTTAATTACTGCATATGCAAAGCCCAAATATGGGAAGGCTTTAGCAAAGATGATTCGAGACCGATCAAGATCGACAATTCTTCTAGGTACCTACAATAAAAGTGAATCACTTTTAGCAGTAATTATTTAATTATAATAAATTTTCTATTTTATATATTAGTACAAGGGTCAAACTATTTAACTTAGTGATTTGAATACGGACATACTTTCTTTAAGCTTCTTGAAATAAAATCAATATATTTAGGAACTATATAAAAGGTAATACTCCCCGTTTAATTTATGTGAACCTTTTCGGAGCATAATGGTCAAATTGACTAATATTTGTGCGTGAATTCGTACATCATATTTTCAATTGAAAATTTTAAAATAAAATCTATATATTTAGAAACTACATAAAAAGTATTATAAGTCACAATAGTTAATAATTTTAAATATTAAAAAATATTTACAAAAATCTTGGTCAAATTAAAGAAAATCTTGTTTGACTTTCCAAAGGTGTAATAGGTTCACATTAATTTAAATGGAGTATAAGTCACAATATTCAATAGTTCAAAAATATATTTAAAAGAAAACCTTAGTAAAGAAAAATCTGTTTTCACAACTCAAAAATAGGTATAGTACCACGTAAAACAATGTAAGAAGAGGGTAATTTCCGGTAAGTTATTTTCTCAATTCAGTGTTACCGGTCCTCGATGATTTAAGGCGTTGTAGAGGCCAGGCCAGCGCTTGACAAGGCGGATGGCTAAGGACGAGGCAAACCAGGCGGCTAGGCGCTGCATGGAATCACCGGTGATCGATGCAAGTTGAAGAATTTGAGATAGACAGGCATCAGCGTGGTGGAGATTGCCGGAGGAAGCATGATTAGCGCAAGTGAACAGTAGTTGGATTAGTTTGACGCCTCCTTCTTTGGGCTTTAAGGCATCCGGTGAAGTATCAGTAGTCGTAGTGGTACTGGTGAAAGACGATAAAGTAAGGGACAAGGTAACGTCTGGTTTTATTGCTGGAGATGAAATATTCATGATGAATTTTTTGCAACCAATGTTTAAGATGAGGATCAAAATTTCAAAGGGTGTATTATATATGTCACTCTCAATTAATAATATAATATGGAGCAGGTGAGTAGGTCGAAAAGCTAGCTTTTGGACTGGGGGAAGTAGCCAAATGGTGCAGTACAAGAATGACATATGCTAACTACAATTTAGTTCGTGACAGCTTTCAGCTGTATATTTTCTCTTTCTCCAATCTTCAATACAGCTGAAAGCTCAATCAAATAAAGACATTGTTGATATATAGTAGGCCTTTAACCAAACTTAAAAACTTGACTCAAACTATCAAAAAGCGTGTAACTTTCGGTCAAAGGTCATATTTTTAGCTAGCGTTTGGATATTGACTTGGTTGAAACTTGAAAAAAGAGTTTTTAAAGTTGTGTTACAAAATAATTTTTGAAAGTTGAAGTTGTGTCTCGACATGCATTTTACTTGAAAAATATTGAAGTTTTGTGAGTGAAAGAAAATTTTTTATCCAAAAACTATTCTAAAGTAGTTTGTGGAACTTGAAAATTTTGTATTCAATATTTTTTCAAAAACTGATCAAATTTCATGAACAAAACAATATTTTTAATTTTTAAAAAAATAAAAAATAAGCATAATCTATGTTCAAACGGGAGCTTAGACTCAAATGTATGCAACACTTCTCATAACGTTAATAATCCGATTTACAACAAAGGTTACCCTTACAAAAGTTTTGCTTTAGGGAACACTTGCTAGACTTTGTTTAAAAATAAGTATGATCTTAGGCCAAATATGTTGTAGTTACGTCTTCCGGATATGTCAGTGAAGAACAAATGTTACTATTATAAAATGCATTGTCATTTTTCTGCTAATATAAAATTAATTAATTACTATTAAGATTGGAGACCAACCGTTCGTCTCTATTCGTTGTCCTTCACTTGGGGTCTCTTTCACGTATTACTAATTAAGTCCAATTACATGCATGATCAAGATTTGCCTAGTTTATTAATTTAATTAATTAAGTTACCTTTTCGGCAATGATTTCATATGCTTACATACAATTTATTAAACCCGTCCACAATCCATTAAACTATGCTTTACACTGACTATACCTACCAATGTTTCTGTCGTGGTGTAATTGGCATGTAAAGAATTTTATCCCTTTTCTGAACAAACAATTACCGGAAAGTCCATAAACAAAAGTTAAAGAAATACTTTTTGATGTGTAAATTGTGTTGAGACGCCACTGTACCTTACTTTTGATGCTTTGTGTAATCAGCCGTTTGGTATTATGCAATAGGGAAGAAAACAAAATCAATCAAAAATTAGAAAGTCCAACTTGTCTTGGCGATTTTTGCTATGTCTCACGTAAAGTTCTAATGGCAATTTTGTTTACTCATAAAACGGTACAATTGAATTTATACGTGGTCTATAGACAAGTGAATTAATTTGAAACGGTACAATTGAATTTATACGTGGTCTATAGACAAGTGAATTAATTTGAAACGGTACAATTGAATTTATACGTGGTCTATAGACAAGTGAATTAATTTGATCCAAAAAATAATAGATGAATTAGGCAAAAATATAAGGCTTAGCCTTAAAATTGAAATAGATGGTAGATAACTTAATTCCGGGCACAGACCTACCGATAGCAATAAGAACAGCACAAATAAGTAAGAAATTAAAGTGTTATTGAGCTTTTGATAGAATAGAGTGCATGCTTGTTAGAAAATTCATATTTTTTACAATAATTGTAGAGCTCATTATTTATAGCTGCACCTAGGGAACAAGGTCTAAGGATTAAGCTCATCTTTAATGACAATTATGAGAGCCATTAAAGGATGTGTAACGGTGGACAGTGAATGCCATATTTCCTGTAACGGATCATGCACTTAATGTTGTAGAATATTCTTCATTGAATGCTATCGAATGGTGATATTAATTTTGCCGTTATGAGTATCATTCTCTCTGGTGACAGGCGAGATCATTGTCTTCGGGTTTAGCTACCTTCTACCTTCGATTCCACGTGTTGCTTTCTCTTGTAACCATTAAATATGAATATATTTTACCCCATACATATAGTCCCTCTGCTTTCCGGTGGAATAATTTCGTATCACCGGGAAGTTGATAGAAGTACCTTTTTTGGCAAAAAATTCTCTGATCCCCTCTGAAAAGTTTCTGACGGTTAATTAGACGCATGTCTCTCAATATTTAATACCCCGAACACACGTCATCCTATGATTTAGCATCACTTTTGCCGGTTATCGAGGTAATTATGGTCACAATTTTAGACGCATATACCTTTACTTATACGCATCAAACCTCTTCATTTACACTTCATGAAACGACTTGTTTCAGTCGCCACCAGGGACATCATTCCGGCCACGGCTTCATCTTTTCCAGAATTATAGAATTGCACTCGTAAGTTCACCATTTGTCTTTTTTTCCGTTAAAGATCATTCCATATCGTTATTAACCCTTCTTCTTTTGCTTATTTCAACGACTCGGTGGGTTTCACCTAGGGTTGAAGGCCTGGGCCCAGGTCCAAAGAATTTTGGACGTTACTACGCCTAAGACCCGTACGTGTAAAGAAATGTCCCTTAAATATGGGTGGAAGGCCAAAAATCATGGTAAGCCAAGCTCATCTTATTTTTACCTTTTCATAAAAGGAAGTTGTTTAACTTTTCTCTCCTGATGGATTCAGGTCTAACCCAGGGCTCAGTTGTCGTCCTCGAGGAAGACATTTTGGCCAATCTTGCTGATGCGGCGAGGTTTCTGCATGAGGCTTTTATGTAGACAGGTGTCTCCGGGCCTGCTTCTGGTATGAGTGCTTCTTCTCGGAGTCCCCGGCCGGAGAACAAGCAGCCAAAAAGAAGACATTCCTCCGTGGCTAGGGGAAAACATAAAAAGGCGAAGAGTGTCGCTCCCGAGTCATCTCCAGAAGTTGTGGTGATGACCCCCCTACTCGGGTCAACCATAGACACCATAATGAATGATAGTGATGGGGAAGCCACCAAGGAGGGAGCTTCTCTACATAGAATACGACGACCTTCCTTAGATCAACAGACTGATCAATCTGTTGAGTTAGTTACACCAACCGAGGATGATGCCTCGACCCTTTGGGGGAGTATGAGATGGTAGAAAATGCTAACTCTTGCTTCCAGATTCCAGTCGTCGTGCCCAGTATCGTGAGGCTGAGTACCGGGTCCCTTCCGTCTTTGGTTGATAAGCAACCAATAACCAGCGATGCACTTGCCGCAACCACTTCTCATCTTTCAATGCCATCAGCTTCATCTCGTTCTTCACCAATTCTTCCTTCACCACCAGCAACTGCTACATCATCTCCACCAGCTGCAACTGCCCTAGAAGAGGATGCCCTTCTCCCTTAGTCCCCAGTTCATGGGAACTTGGGGCAAATTTATGCTGCCCCTTCTGAAGATCCGCAAAGGAGGAGGAGTGTTACTCTCTGATTTCCACCGGATACCACCTCCTGTCTCGGCTGGTGGAACTTGCAAACTATCTAAAGCCTTTGGCTTCAGAAAAAGATAGGAAAAAGATACAAGCTCTCTCGGGAGAGTGTTTGTTGAACAATGCTATGCAAAATGCAGCAACAGTATATTCTTTGTTTCCTTCGTTGTCTCTTATATCTTTGATATAGTAGGATTTTGAATTTGCATTCTTCGTTTTTCAGGCCAACTTTCTTACTTCCGAGGGCCTCCAAAGGTTGATTCGAGACAAGGAAGAACTCACCTCTGAGCATGATCAACTTTTGGCCGAGCAGGATCAAATTGGTGCTCGCCTCTCGGAGCTGAAAGCTAAAGCTGCTGAGGACGCTGTGTTGGAGACTCGGTTCAGAAAAGCGAGCAAGAAGTAGACACCCTTAGCCAAGAAGTCTCCCCATTAAGGGCTCAGTTTGAAGAAGCTAGGGAAAATGTGTTGAAATCCGTAATGCCGTTCTTGCTGCATTTGATCATGAGGTTGCCTCTGCTGAAAGATTGAACAATTTGGAGGCGGCTTTGAACTCCAAAACTAAAGATTTTGCTGCCCCCGGGGCGAAGTATGCCCTATTGGAGGAGAAGCAAAAAAAGACCATTGAGCATAATAGACTTTTCAGCTCTACTATTCGTGATCTCGACGTCAGCCTCCAGTCCGTTAGATCCACGCGGGAAAGCCTTTCTGTCAAGGTTGACCAACTTAAAGAAGAACTCAAGCGTCGAGCGGCTTCCCTCGTTGTTGAGAAAACATATGTTGTGTACAGCATGAGGAGAAAAAGCTTGGAAGAGGCTAAAGTGGGTGTCATTGACTTTGATGCCGAAATCGCTAAAGCCCGTGAGCTGGAGTTGGCTGCTAAAAGGTGTCTTCCGGCCAGGTCTGATGCTACCGATTCTTCTGGTTCCGGTTCTGAGTTCTCAGGAACTGAAGAGGAACCGGAAGGTGAAGATGCTGAAGGCCAAAATGACGTAGTCCATGATATCAAACCGGCGACGGATCTACCCACTTCCCTTAGGGAAACAGATGCTTCTCTTCCTCCGGGTTCCGGAGATGCAGCAACTTAGTTTTTGATTTCTTTTGTATATGTGTCGTTTGGCAGATTTATTGTAAATAAAAAAACTTTTTCGTTCAAGTATTGTATAAGTTTCCCTTTTTGCGTATCTTCGTTTAAACAATTGCACAACTTTTCTCTTTGCGTATTTTTTCGTTTAAGTGTTTGCGCAAGTTTTATTGTTTGTATTTGATCATACAAGGCTTCAGTTGTATTTTCCCTGAAAGCATTTGGATTCCGGGCATACGTTGTTCCGAAATCAACCCTTTAACATGGGGGTTTCTATAAGAGATGGCCCTCTTATGTTTACGGTGCTCTTTAAGAGGACGTCTCCTGTTCATTACGACGCTAGCATTTGAAGTACTTGTTTAACTTTCAAATGATAAAATCAATTCATCTTTCAGACAAGAAACAAGACAAAAATAAAAGGACTTTACTTTATTCCTTCCATTTTCAAAAGTAC